GCTTTCCCATCTACTAAGTTGGTCCAATTAAAGATATCACTAATAATCCTTGCCCCTCATGTTTCCTGGACCATCACCTCAAGAACAATACTCCAGGACTAGAAACATAATACAGTCCCTGTTTTAACAGGGATGCCCAACTGTGTCACTTGCAATGACACAGTTGGGCATTGCAAGTGACACAGTAAGTTAGCTGTGATGAAGCCAGTAAGTTAGCGGTTTCATTTCCCTTTTTGTTTGCATCCAGAGCGACACCAGCTTCACTTGGTCCTCTATGTTGAACCTTGTTCGCCTTCCAAAATGATAAAATTATGGTGTTACAGTCTTATAGTTGTGAAAAACTTAGTTATGGGTACCTCAGAAATATGTAGCTAGACTACTGCACACTTTTGTATTGTGAGGCAAAGTGCTTTTTTTTAACAGATACATGCGTCTCAAATGTAAACCTTACTGAGTATTTACATATAAGCATATTAAGGCTACTTACAGACATGAGGAAAAAATAGCACTTTAAGCTCAGTGCACCCCCGCACCAAGTGCAGTACATGCCCAGAATAGCATCATGTTAGTTGGACCTGGCTCACCCACCATCTGTATAGATTGGGTGCTTCAGCGGGGCTTTTTGACACTTTTATTTGATAGCTGATTGAATCAGCTTTAGATAAAAGTGCCAAAAGGCCATGCTGAAGCACCCAATTTATAAAAGTGCTGCAGAGCCACATCAAACTAATACACTTCCTCTTCCAGTTAAGCACTGTTTGGGGGAAGAGGGGGGGAGTTCACATCTGTCAGCACCCTAAATGAATCCATGCCAGACATGGACAAAAGCTAAATGTCGAAGAAAATTCCCTAAGCTTTGCAGTTAGTAAAACCATATATTTCACCTTAAATTTCTTCAACTTTGAATTCAAGCTTAAGGCAGAATTATTTGATATTAAATATTTGATTTTTAAGCTCCAGTGATCTCTGATCCCTATTATAATGAATTGAGAACATGTGGTTTTCATGAGGGTGTGCAGCAAAACTCCTCTATTTGAGAATGTGCTAAATTGTTTGTAATTCCCAAATAAGTTCCAGGAAACTTCAGAATTATGTTTTGTGAAGGACTACAATAGTCATGAAACAAAATAGTTTTCTAAAATATATTATGTGAATGTTCTTTATGTGCATGTTAGCAGGCCTGTGGGACATCTGGAGTCCACCATGAATGGACAACTGGACCTAAGTGGGAAGCTGATTATCAAAGCTCAGCTGGGGGAGGATATCAGGAGAATTCCTATTCATAATGAAGACATCACGTATGATGAGCTGGTTCTGATGATGCAGAGAGTTTTCAGAGGAAAACTTCTGAGCAATGATGAAGTCACAATAAAGTATAAAGATGAAGGTATGATTTTCTTGCTAATTTGTTATTCTCTTTGAACTTTCAGGAGAATGTCATCTCTTTGATTTTGTTGTTGTTGTTGTTGCTGGTTGCCATAATAAGGTGGAGTAAGTTACTCTTTCACTGAGTGTTGCACAAAAAAGATGACTTACATGCTCATCTTAATTTTAATATGGCCCTTTGAAATATATCTTCCAAAGCGATATACACATTGGCTAGATATATATAAATATCTGTTAGATAACTTAAGGCTGATTGTCTCCTAGTCGGTGTAATCTAGATAAGGAAATGGCTTCATCCAAATCATCTTAGAAATTTCATCCTTTCAGTCATTGGTGTAGGGTAGGGGTTGGTAACCTATGGCTCATGGACTAGATCTGGTCTGCAAAGAGGTCCAATCTGGTCTGTGAAGAGCTCTGATCTGGCATTAGGGATCAGTGGCATAAGGCCATGCTGTGCTGCCCTTCCCCTCCACTGTGAAGTGTGCTGCACCACTGCACCTGTGCTTTCCCTGCTGCTGAAAGGTTGGGAATCTGCAACGAGAGTGAGTGCAGGCAGCTAGCAAGGTTCACAAGCTCCAACTTGTGTGGAAGGCTCTCAATCCATGGTATAGGGGGTAGTCTCAGCTAAGGGGCTGTTCTAAGGAGGCTTGAGATGGACATCAAGTCATATAAAACACCTATCTGTCTATGGGACTGAGGAATCTTTCCATGAGTGCTAATATAGCTTTCCTGACTTATTCACCTAAAGCATACAGTAGAAAAATCTGGAGAAACCAGCCTGACCCTTGGAGGCTGTTCACTTGGTTATTCAGTGTTACTGTGAGTTTGGTTTGTTACTCTGATGCTTTGCTGTGGAAGATCACGCCTTCCATCTTTATTCAGGCAGTACTTCTTAGCCACCCTCTTGGGGTTGGTACTGCTGTTAGAAATAGATCAAAGGTGGCAGATCAACAGGCACAGTTATCAGTGAGGTAATAAAGATTACCAGTAATTGACTTTCATAGAGTGCATCTTCTCTTCAGATTTATAATTCTTCCTTATTTCCTGAGTCACTCACTAGAAATTTTGAATAGGTAGGACCTCTGCAAGAGATCCTTTCTTTTTTGTTTTTGGAGCCAGACTTGTGGCACCAAAACCATATGTGAATCTGCAGAGCTAATATAACTGGAAGGTAGCTAACAGCAAGTAACCAGGTTATCAAGGATCAGTGATAACCAAAATATGTTCTTCTAGTACTTCAGTGTGGCCTTAAGACTTGGCACCATAGTACCTGACTGCAATAGGAATATTTCTGTTGCTTCTCCTAGGTGTTGTAGTAGTACTGTTCTATGAACTAATCTGCTTTCACTTTTCAGCTGATTTATGTGCATCTGTATTCAAGAAATAGTGTATTCTGGAGCAACAATTGAATGGCACTATACTAGAATATGGGATGGATGGTAATTTTACTTTTTAACATTCTATTAGAGAGTGAACTTTTAGCTTCAGACACTTTTGTCTAGGAAAGTTTTAGTTGTACAGTATTTTTTATGTTGCTAATCTGAACATTCAGCAGTATGGTAACAGCTGTGCACAATGACCCAGGTGTTTCTGATTTTAAGATGGAAATGTTATGTTCAAGGGAACTTTTTTTTTTTAGTGTCTTATGTACACATGCTGAATGCATTTTTTTTTTTTTTCAGTCTAAACTATATTCTTCCCTTTTTGATATGTTGGACCAACAAGGGCTGTAAGTCTGCCATGTTGGTATAGTTGGGAGGGAGAAATTTTTTTTTTTTTTTAAGGTTAATATCTTGAGGCTTTATACATTTTGTATAGCTTTGTGACCTTTACAGTAAGAGAGAGGAGAGTAAAAGAAAAAGGAGAACTTGCTTTTTTGCTCAGGTAAAAAGACGTTTCTCAGCAGCTAAGAAATTAACTTTCTTCCTCCACTTATTAATTAATGATCCATAATATGGCATCCCATTAGTTGGTGAAATTCTTGGCTGAGGATTAGACCCCATTTCTTGTTTTAGACTTTATCCATTACCACTTGCTATGCTTCTGACTTATCATAAAGTGCAGGACTGTATACTAGGCATGTAAATATCATTCAAAAATAGCCGTTTAAACTCTTCTAATTATAATTGGCCAGCTTCTTAACCTACTCTGGAGGCGCAGGGGCTGTGTGGGTGTTGCGCAGCAGAGACCTGGCACTCCCCTTTGTAAGGCAGTTTCCCACTCTGGTGTGACTGGCACATGGTGTCTCACAGCAAGGCAGGGAACATGGGCAGTGTAGCATGGGGGAGGCACCTCCCCAGCCATCACTTTTGCCATGTGTGAGCAGGAGAATGGAACAGAGCACTTCCCTCCTCCTCCTGGTCTTTCTCCTCTGCAGCAGCTGGAGATGCAGAGCTCCAGCATGGGCTGAGGGGAACATGCCACCACCATGCCAGGCACAGTGCCTATTGGCAGCGTGGGGATGGGGGGTGGCATAGCCACCCCAGGGCCCACATTCTCAGCATGTTGGGCTGGAGCCTGGCCATGGTCTCTGCTCCATCAGGGAGCGGGGAAGGAAAAAGCTTGGCAAGGGCTGCCACTACCCCCAGGAAGACCCTGGCTGAGGTCCCATTCAGGCCAGGGAGGGGTTTAAACCCCCCACCCTGCCTCCCCACCAGAGTGTGCTGGGCCCAGGTCAGGACCTAGCTAGGCACCCTGCTTGAGTAGCGAGGAAGGAGGCTGACAGCGCAAAAGCCTAGCAGGGACTTCCATAGTTTCATAGATTTAGGGTCGGAAGGGACCTAGTAGATCTTCTAGCCCAACCCCCTGCCAGGGCGGGAGAACAACAAAACCCCAAAACAAGAAACGGGACTCAAATGAGTCCAGCCAGGTAGGCATCCAGCCTCTTCTTAAAGACCCCCAGGGTAGGGGCCAGCACCACTTCCCTTGGAAGTTGGTTCCAGCTCCTAGCCGCCCTAACTGTGAAGTAGTT